GTGCACCCAGCGGCCATTTTGGAACCGCCAATCAGCTGTTTAAAAAAACATTGCAATGCGAAGATCGGTAAGCGAAATGCTTACCGATCATTGCAATGCTATTTTCTGCCATTTGGATCATCGCAATGCGATCGCATTAGCGATCACAAAAAACACATCGCTATGCGAATTCATCATTAAACGTTGCGCTCGTTATGTGAGGCACCACTGTACTACCAAGGAGATAAAGTATGCTAATTGCAGGGAATATATAAAACCTGAAATGTCTTTTTTGACCCTAAAGCTCCCTCTTCCTTTGTACTGGACTGGATGATGAAAATGTACTCAGTAAAGCAATTCAGATTTTTTTTTTACCAAATAGCCATGAGAGATTGAGAAGTAGTCACATTATGACACACACACAGAGAGAGAAATTTCCCACTAGGTTTAGCAAGATATTTGGAAACCTTTTGTCTCTTCCTGCGTGGAGTTAGCTATGCCCTGGAACTGCCTGATGGCAAAATTAGTTTATGAAAGACACACAGATGTTGGATTGAAACTCCAATTCAATCACCAATTCCCTTTTATGAAATATGAAACTAATTCACGCTGGCTTCAATGTGAAAGCTGGGCTGTTGGTTTTTAAAATATTAGCTGACGGCAGCAATGTGAAGAGGTGGGGGAGAGGGAAAAAAGAAAACAGCATGAGTATGATCTAATCTTTCTTCCAGTTAATGGCAGAATTAAAGTAAAAAAAATATATGGCTAATGATTGCCAAGGACATTGAGGGAGAACACAGCCAATTTTATTGATTTCAAGTAAAGATTCTGAGTTAAGGGAAACAGGATACTGCATGGGTTATATCCTCACTCCAAATACTGTATTAGAACTTGAGGCTACCTAGAGAAATTGATCTGCAGTAGATGCCAAGAGCAGGCAAAATATGTAATGTCTAATTAATGTATCAGGGAAATATACGAATGATAGATGGCATTTTCCTGCCTCTAGAACCAGAGATGGATGAGGATTTAATTACTTTTATAGAAAATGAGACAAATTCATAGAAAATAGTACCTTTGTAGGGAATAAGCCACAAGAGCTAAGTGGAAACTTGGGGGACCGTTGGCCATCTCAATGGGTTGGCCTCAATTTTCCATCATCCTATTGAACCAGCCATACTGGCTGGGACATCCAGGAGATGAAGTCCAAAACAAGCGGAAGGAGAAATTGAACTTCCAAGTGAAATGTCTAGATCTAGAAGGAATGTGTTCTCACGACGAGAGCATGGGACAAAGAATGGATCTATGGTGGGCTGGAGTAATTCATCACAGGCTATGGGCAGGATCCAAGAAATGGACCTGGGCATCAACACTGCTCACTTATGGATGGCTTCCCCAGTTTATTTGATTCAGCCTTCTTCAAAGTCACTTCCCAAGCACTGTGATTTCAGTATCATTTGCTTGGAGACACAAACACACAAGGGAGATTTATTATCCTTTATGTCTTGATTGTGAGCTTCCATAAGAACATAGGAAGAGCCCTGCTGGATCAGACCAAGGGCCCCTCCAGTCCAGCTCCCTGTATCTCCCCGTGGCCCCACCAGATGCCTCTGGGAGCACACGAGAGACCACGAGAGACCTGTCTCCTGATCCCCCTCCCCTGCATCTGGCATTTGGCCATCCTTTGAAGCCTGGAGATTGTACAGCCCCATCATGGCTTGTCACCTGCGATGGACTTTTCCTCCTGCCATGATGTTGACTTTTCAGGACATCAAATACTGGGTGTACTCTGGGTCTGATCTAGGAAAATAAACAGGGGGGGATCCATTCATTTGTGCAATTAGCATCATCTCCAGTTTTGCTCTTCGAATTGTCTACCTACTGTCTGCAAAACATTTATCTCCCAAGATAAATAGTTGGAGAAAGGTAATTCTGCAACTAAAGGGTAGAGTGGACCACGATAAAACATTAGCCTTCTCCATTGTTAAAAAAAATCCACAGGGTCCCTTCCAGATGTGCAGTTCTAAGATGAGGATGATGACAAAGGTGAATGCCAGATGCCAATGCTGAAAGAACAGTCTTTTCTCTCTTCTGTTTGTGATTTACTTCTTCATGTTTTGAAAAATAATAACAATAAAAGAGCGTAAAGTTCCAAATCCTGTAGGGGAATAAGTGATAAGATGCTACTGAATGTCATTAGCAAAAGAATATAACAATGCTGAAATTATTTATGTCAAGGAGCTAAAAATGAAGCCAGGGTTCAAAGAGTGGAGGTAGTTTTTAATGTAAATTAAAACCGATTTGCACTGGCCCGCTAATCAAGTGTTTACCTGTTTTCCATTAAAATGACATCAAATTTAATCAGGCTGCCGTCTAATGCATGCATTTCCCCTAAATCAGAAGCATTCTCATCATGAATATTTAAATTGGATTTTAAAGGCATGAAAATTGCATTTAAATAAAAAGTGAGGTGGTTGCGCAGAAGTGCAGAGTTAGAATCTTTAAATTCCGCTTAACAATTGTAAACACATTTTTTAAGAAGTTGACAAGGTCTCAGGGGGAAGTTGAGCTCAGCAACAGGGATTAAGGATCGGCAATTACAAAACACCAAGCACCTAATTAGCTTTTACATAAATATTAGTTCCTTATGTACTAACAGCATGTCCATACTTTAATAACTGGAGAAGGAGATCAAGCCGTAGGAATTCAAAAAGGCTTTTGTGTCTATGTGTGTGTGTTTTAAGGCAGTCTGTTGGAAATCCTGCGACCCAAAAATGTATAAATAACAAGTTGCACGGAACGAAATTTATTGAATAATTCATGGGCACAGCTCCGATGTGAGATGGCTTGGCTTATGAAGTTTGGCTTGCCAACTAGGATGGAGCCGGGGGCTGACTCAAACATCGTCCTGTTCTTTAGCATGGACGTTCAAAACACGAAACTCAAATCTACCTTTTTAAATAGATATACTTTTGGAATGGTCTGGTGCAATCTAGGTAAAAGGTAAAGGTAAAGGTTCCCCTTGACAATTTTTGTCCAGTCGTGTTCGACTCTAGGGGGCGGTGCTCATCCCCGTTTCCAAGCCATAGAGCCAGCGTTTTTGTCCGAAGACAATCTACCGTGGTCACATGGCCAGTGCGACTTAGACACGGAACGCTGTTACCTTCCTACCGAGGTGGTCCCTATTTATCTACTTGCATTTGCATGCTTTTGAACCGCTAGGTTGGCGGGAGCTGGGACAAGCAACGGGCGCTCACTCCGTCATGTGGATTCGATCTTACAACTGCTTGGTCTTCTGACCCTGCAGCACAGGCTTCTGTGGTTTAGCCCGCACTGCCACCACGTCGCTGGTGCAATCTAGAGATGGGCGCGAACCATATTTCCATGGCTTGGCCCAGTTTGTCATGGCGCTCACGGGGGTGTTCCGCTAGCACTGCCAGCTTCCTTTCTCCACCTCCTCCTGATGATCTCCCACTCGCCAGTAGCACCATTATTCTCTCCTCTGCCTCCTTTGATGCCACCCATTCAGCCAAGGAGGAGGGCCAAGGAAGCCCACAGTACTGCCTCTGAGTGGGTGATCACCCGGAGGAGGCACACCGGGCCTGTGGAACACCTGTGCAGGCACCATGCCAAATGGGGCGAACCACCGAACTGTGGTTCATGCCCATCTCTAGTGCAATCTATTTCTGAGCGAACACGTGACACACAGCGAATGTTGCTCCAGCCCAACCCTGATCCATGTGCTTCTACTTTTTAGAGCTGGCCTCAAACTGGTTCTCTGACACTCAGGTGCATGCCTTTTGTAGCTGTCTGACCACACCCTTTGCTAGTTTGATTTGGCATAAGTTTCCATAGACTACAGGGACGTGGTGGCACTGCGGGTTAAACCTCAGAAGCCTCTGTGCTGCAAGGTCAGAAGACCAGCAGTCGTAAGATCAAATCCACGCAACGGAGTGAGCTCCCGTTGCTTGTCCCAGTTCCTGTCAACCTAGCAGTTCGAAAGCATGTAAATACAAGTAGATAAATAGGTACCACCACGATGGGAAGGTAACGGTGTTCCATGTTTAGTCGCACTGGCCACTTGACCACGGAAAGTGAATGTACATGTGACACAGAAGAAGGAAGCCCCCCTTGGAAAAGTTACATTGTGCAGCTGATGAACTGCTTGATAGCTCTGTGGTTGAGGTCTCCAGCTGACCACACCCTTTGAAGTTGAGAGTTCGATTCCCCACTGTGCCACCTTGACAAGGGCTGGACTCAGTAATCCATAGAGTCCCTTCCTGCTCTGCAGTTCTGAGATTATTATTGATTATTATCATATACACATTGAGCTGTGCATGATATTATAACGGCAATGCTATGGTTGGATTTGGTGCCTGTTTAGTCGCACTGGCCCACGTGACCACGGAAAGTGAATGTACATGTGACACAGAAGAAGGAAGGAAGGAAGCCCCCTTAGAAAAGTTACATTGTGCAATTGATGAAGTGATCTATTTATTGCTCTACCTATTTTAGAATATTTTATCATTCTATAAAGTGTGTTAGGTGCTTCATTCGGAAGTCTCACATCTGTAAAAGTTCCAGGTTTGTTTTGTTTTTTAGATGTCATGCAACATCTATGGGTTCCTGCAATAAGCAAGAATATCAGCAAATTGCAAGTCCTTTTCTGCCATCTCGTGGCCAGGCCAAGAAATTCGACAATGAACTTGTCTAAATGTCTTATCAAGAAAATGCACTGTTTACAGAGACCAGATAATGCTTCTCTATCCCAATATGTGTTGCTTGCCATCATACACTCAACACCACACCTTACCTATCTCCAGTTCCCCCAAAGCCTTTATGGGATGTCATGAAAGTTTAATAAAATAGATTTAGGTCGGTGACATAGATAACACTCCCTGGGTTTGCCATTGAGTGAGGTCTGATTCATGGCTCGGTCTTCTAGGTGTTCTAGAATTTTGGAGAACATCAGTCATTGTGAAGTAACAGGAGGGTGTGAAGTGAAATCAAAGCGACCAACCCAAGGGGCCGCAAGAAGAATCCCATATTTCAGGCAGAGAAAAGTAGCTTCAGAATTAGAAAGGCTCTTGTTCACTTCTGGGTCTCTTGAACTCCTGCCTCTACCTTCAGCCATAAAGTATCTGTACTATTCTGATAATGGACCAATTCATCCCGTCCCTCTTTATCATTCTCTCTGTGGAAATCTCATGCTGTCTTCGAGATGCGCTTTCAGGTGAGTAGGAGCATTCGAGATGCGCTTTCAGGTGAGTAGGAGCAAAGGATTGCCTTCACATGCATCACCCTCCATGACCAGCACCAAATAGTGTTCAAGCAACCATTTGGTTAAAGCTAGGAGAAGTTACTTTTTTGTTCTAAAATGCCTAGCATCTCCCAGGCAGTATGCCTGGAAACCATGCTGGCAACAGAATCATAGGCCAACCAAGTAAGTTCTCCTAGCTCTACATTTGGTAAGGTTCCAACATCGGGGAAAGGCATTCCACATCTATTACACCCCACCACCTTTATTTTTTTCCCCAGGTGGAAGGTGAGGCTTGCTGGATGCAATCCAAAATTTATCTAGAACATATTTACATTTCCCAATGCAACCAGTCTGAAACTTCCAATTATTGTGGAATCTTTAGAATTTGGTTGGTTCCTTTTGTTAGCAGTTATAAGGTACAAAATAAGCCAGCAACAACACAGGGAAAGCATGAAGGGAGTATAGTTTAAAATCCCAGCTCCAGCTCAGCCCCTTATATATAAGAAATCATTCTACAACTAGCTTAAGGTAGAAAAAGGAGAAAACTTTACTTACAGTTGATCTTGAGTTACAATCAGAAGAGTAGAAAGGGATAAAAAAGAAAGACTGGGTTGCTCAATCATCTCAAGAGGGAGAAATCCCTGAGGACCACATGATCCCTCTTCAGATTTCAAAGGTTGTGAGCAGATTTAAGGAAATCACATTCAGCACCCTAGACAATACAGTACAAAAAAAGAGCAGATTGATCCTCCATTACATCAGAGCCTGCATTGGCTGATGTTCTATGGCATGATTTTCAGTGATGTTATTTGCTTCTCCAAACCCTTCAGCTCCCATCAAAATGTACAAAGAGTTTCAGAAGGCTGGATCGGGTTCTTCCACAGAAGAATCCTACGCTGCGATGATTGTGCCATTATTTGTGGAGAACATGGGTGAGATGATTTTAAGTCTTTGGTTAATAAGCTGATCTTTTCCCATAATTCCTCTCCATCTTTTGAATGTCACCTTCTAGAAACCCTGGCAAATATACAAGCTGGGTGCAGATTTTGGGTTAAATGCCCCTCTTAGGGTTTAGCTCCTGACAGAACCTCTTTGAGATTGAATTTGTCCCTCAGGTTGAAAGAGGGTCTGGTTATTTGAAGGAAAACCTTTAAGGTCAATGTCCCCTGCTCATCAGTTCTTCTCTAAGATCCAGTGATTTAGAGTTATCTTTACCATATGGGACTCCCTGTTATTACTTCAAATGAGAAATGATGTTTGATGTCCTTCTGCTGTTGATGAAATCCTGTATGACCGTTGAGTTATCCCTGATACAAAAGTTCATGGACAACTGGCAGTTTAGCTGATAGTTAACTGGCTAATGGGTGACAATATGCTTCGGTACTGTCCTATTAATACCAATGCTCGTCAACAGAACATAGAATCTGTGTGTATCAAAGGGTTTGACCTTCTTGATCTTGTCTTGCATCCCTTTAATCTCCTGTTTTTGTGCAAGTCAGAAACATCCCCGGCAAGATGAGATTCACTCAGGCACATGCTCTCTTCAAGAGAACTATCAAATGGAATAAAGGTAAATGAACGGTGTGAATATTTAAGATGAGAGCGGAGTTCACATGATTAGATGTCTCTTTTTGTTTATATCTTCCATACAGATCTTGAGAAAATTACTTTTCTTCACTACAGGTACCAGAATTCTCTAGCCAGTTTGAAAGACAAGACCCTGGTGGTTAGAAAAAAAAAGATTAATAACTTTTTAACACATACATCATCATACTCATATATAATAAAAGTTTGTTTGTTTTTTCTATTTCTGCATCTGGAATTCCACAATATGGTTTGAAATCAGTAAAAACTCTTTGTACCTTAGGGCTGTCTGGATAGCTCAGAGGTTAAGAGTTCGATTCCCACACTGTGCTTCCCATAAGGAAAGCCAGCCTGGGTGGCCTTGGGCCAGCTGCACACAGTCCCAGGTCGCCCTCTAGAGGAAGGGAAGGGTAAATCACTTCTGTGGATTCTCTACCCTGAAAATCTTGGAAAGGGTCACCATAAGTCAGAATTGACTTAATGGCATGTGATAACAAAGATGAATATACCACTGTTAGAAAGCTGAAAAAAGGCCTGTTTAGCCCACACTATTTCATTTTTAATGAAATGGTCACCTGTATCATCATTGCTTGAGAATTACAGGTGAAATAAGAGGTCAGTCTGTTTTTTATATGTTTGGATTGGCTTTCAAACTTATGCATGCAATTGGAAGGTTCCCAAAACCTTCAGGAGAAGTAAAGTGGGCAAGCGAACAACCAAGGACTAAGGTCTGCCAAAGGACGGCCAGGAAAGGTTACGTAGCATTGATCTTCATGGCTTCTCACATACATAGATCAGATTGTTTTTCTTCCTTCAATGCAGTGATCCCGAACCGGCCTGCCCTGGCGAAGATTGTCGTAGAAGGATCCATAGCTTTCATCTTTGCTGTTCTAATCGGGATCGTACTGTGGTGCGTGCTGTAGTAAGTATGCCACCAACAGCCATGTTGTAGTTAGGAAGTGGGGGTAGCTGCAGATCCACCTGCGTGCGCATGTGCAAAGGCACATCTGTGATTTGTTAGCTCGCTGGTTGTTGGCTTTTGCCTCTGAGAATCAAGGTTGGCAGAAACCATTCTCCAGGTCTCCAGATTTATCTCTGAAATCTCACTCTCACTTTCAGGACATGCCAGTATTCCTGTCTTTTCTGCAGCCTTGAAAGATCTAGAGCTGCTGATTCTGCTACTGCTGACGGCAGCTGTGGAATTTACACAATCTTCAGATCCTTCACTGAGATTCTGGGTTGCAGAGATGTACAATACAGGATAACCAGATGTGTATTTATTTATTTATAGAAGACAGAATTCCTATATTTACAAGAGTTGTTTAGGAGAGGGAGTTTCAACAGGTACAGCTTTTAATACAAGGTACACCTGCTGAAACATATTTCATCACATAGCTATTAAAGGTACAGAAGCCCGGACCTCTTTTTTTTCATCTGACCACCCTAAATGTGTGCCACAGATGTGGCCAATCAACATAGACTCCATGGATCTCAACTGATCAAAGGTTTAGCTCATTATTAGAATGTCAATTCTAGCAGGTGATTTAAACCATTAGTTGGAGGTGGCAATAGCAATGTACACACTTCAAATATGTTTCCTCTTGTCTCCTCTTGATCTACATGTAGACTGATACTCATAGGCTTCCTTCTTTCTTTCTTTGTAGTCATGCCTTGCTTCTTCATCTTCTTTATTAGAGAAATGACTTCCAACAGGCAGGCATAGATTCATAGATTCATAGCATTCATAAAAGACATCACTCAGAGCTTTCTCACCTGATCTCAGTGGTTCTTTATCCTTCCGGCTGGTTATTTCTCCTTAATAGGAGCCTCATGGCACAATGGTAAAAGTGTAGTACTGCAGCCCAAACTCCACTCACTACCTGGGTTCAATCCCAAATTGCCAGCTCAAGGTTCACTCAGCCTTCAATCCTTCCAAGGTTGGTAAACTGAGTAACCAGCTTGGCAGTAAAAGTGCAGTACTGCAGCCCAAACTCCACTCACAACCTGGGTTCAATCCCAAGTTGCCAGCTCAAGGTTCACTCAGCCTTCAATCCTTCCAAGGTTGGTAAACTGAGTAACCAGCTTGCTGGGGGGGGGGCAATGTATAACCTGTGTAATTAAACAGTAAACCACCCAGAGAGTGTTTTAAGTTCTATGGGGAGGCATATAAGCAACACATTTTGCCTTTTTGCTGTTTGCTTTTTTAATAGTCACAGGGTCTGCACTAGCCCACTGCACTTTTCCAGTAAAGACTAGAGAGGGTCTTCATGTCTAGAATGATGCACAGCATCACATTCCCATCCCCCAGGCCAGCCAGGCTATTAACTGTCCTTCTTTAGGGGTGGTGCACCAATCTGGGCAGGAACCCAGCCAAGCCAGCCCTGCCTCCCCAGGCAGCTGACCACTCCAGCAAGGAGGCAGGACCTCCCAGCCCAGCCAGGCTTCTGCCCAAATTGCTGTGCTGCCACCAAAGAAGGACCCCAGCAGAGCCCATTTAGTGGCCCAGCTGGCCCGAGGGGCTTGGGATGGGAATCCACACCACAAGTGGTGCCACAATTCATTCTAGATACAAAGGATGAAGCACCACTCTTGAGTAAAGACCAAGTGATCCAAATAATTCAGTTACACAGAATATTCCTATGCTGTCTCCAGAATAAATGTGGATTTGTAAGCGGATATTGGCAAATAATATCTTCACAGATCCCTCTGATAAGTGATGGTAGGAAATGTTTCATTTAAAACACACTTCCTGTTATGGGGGAAGGTTAAAAGTGCTTTCTTCCTTTGATAAAATTGCTTCTTCTTTCAGTTCAAAAGGGGAAAAAATTAAGCATTTGGGCCCTCGCCTCAAGCCCGTGGTAAAAAAAAACTTCTTTCTGAGACAAATTAAGAAGCAGAAGGAAGCCGGCATAAAGAAGCTGATGAAAAAAAAGCAGCTTGAGAAAAGCCTCATTGAGACAGGTAAGCAGTGCGCCTGCCTTGCCAGTTCAAAATAACAAAGTTAAGTGAAGGTGCAACTAGACAGCAAGGAAACGGAGGAATCGCACCTGGGTGTTCAGGTTTCCCTGGGTCTCTCTCCATTAACTGGCCCTGCAGAGGAAGAGAGGTAAGCCTTGTTTGCAGCTTGTTTGCATTCTCATTTCCCTTTGCTTTGTGTGGTCAACAGTAAAAAAGAAAAAAGGGCATTAGCCCAAACTCATAGTATTTGTCACATTATTTCCCAGTGTAGTTGCATCCTGAGTCACTCTGTAGATGAATGTTTAATCACTGGAAGCTGGTGAAAAAAGCAAACCCTTTCTTATGGTTTTTGCACATGATCATTTATAACTTTAAAACATTACACCTTGTTGTACTCACTTTGCCAAGGTCATTACAAGGGAAAAAATGCATCCTCGCAGATCTCCTCTCTTAGATATCCTTTTCTAAGCAGTTCAGCAATTTATGATGTGTAAGATTCGTGTTAATTTTGCTGGTGTTTTGATGAGGTTGAACTGACCTATTGATATATGCTGTTCTTATTTAAATATTGGAAGTGCCTTATGCAAGTTGCAATAGCAATTTGTGAAATGCTGTAACAAATTGTACCCATATTTTTAATTAAAGCAATTATACATTATGTCTGTAATTAAGATTGCTATGTTTTCTTGTTTTTATGAACCACTTTGAGCACAATATATTGCGGGGAAATGATGTACAACTAAAACGACTATGACTTGATGAAAGGGTACTCATAGGCAAAGGGCCTGATCCTGCTGCACAGGAGTAGACCAAGTCTTGGGCAAGGAAGCACTTTAACCAAAATATGAAGACACTTGTGACAGGTTTTGGCAGAAGAGGGCTGAGAGTCTAGCATCACAGGAGGCACTGATCATTCAGTTCCAATTTTTAGTCCAAATTTTACAAGAGCTACCCAATGATCTGAACCTATTTTGGGGGGAGGGTTCAGCACCATGGAGAGTTCAGAGTAAAACTTGACATGGATTCATTGTCCCCATGAAGCTGGAGTCACCAGCCTTCATGAAGGCCTGAATGTGAATATAGAAGTTTCTGTTTATCTTTCTAAAACTTCCTATTATGTTGTAGAGAAGGAGGAAGAATGGAAGCAAGCACATGAGCTGGGAAAGGAAAAGGAGGAAGATTCTGAGGAATCTGATGAGGAAGAAGAATCAGTTGTGGAAGAGAAAGGGAAGAAGAAGAAGAAGAAAGGGAAAAGGCATGCAATAAAAAAGAAATTGGCCAAGGTTAAGAAGGCTGCAAAATCAGAGATGGTCCAAAAGCATGTTGGCAAAATCAAGAAGGTGGCAAAATCCAAGGCTGTTAAGAAGCATGTTGGCAGAATCAAGAAGGTGGCAAAATCAAAAACTGTTCGAAAACATGTTGGCAGAATCAAGAAGGCAGCGAAATCCAAGGCTGTTAAGAAGCATGTTGGCAGAATCAAGAAGATGGCAAAATCAAAAGCTGTTCAAAAGCATGTTGGGAAAATTAAGAAGGCCGCAAAATCAGGATACACTGGTAAAATTAAGAAGGAGGGGAAACCAGAGGCTGCTCAAAAGCCTGCTGGGAAAAGCAAAAAGGCAGCCAAATCCGAGTCAGAGGAAGAAGCAAAATCAACTTCTGATAGGGAAAGTAAGAAGCCAAGAAAGAAAAAGGAGAAAGAAATGGAGATGATTATGGTGAAGGAAGATGATAAGAGGACTCACGGGAAAAAGAAGGAACTCGGGAAGGCAAAATTAGAAGACACTGACTCTAAAGAAAAGAAGAAGAGCCAGAAGAAAAGGGAACGAAGCCCACAAAGAAAAGCAAAACACAAGAAGAAGAGGCGACGAGAATTGGAGGAGTCTGAGGACACTGATTAGCAGAGAGGAAGGATGGAACTGGATCAGGAAAGGGACTCTGGAGAGGAGGTAGTGCCATCCGAGGTGGAAAAGAGACTCGTTGAATGCATATACTTTTAGGGCTTACGGTTAGCCTGGTGACTGGTGTGAAGAAAAGAGAGGTGATTTTCCAAGCCTTTTCTCTCCTCTTGGTAAGAATGCTCTCCTGCCCCCTAGTGTTAAGATTTAATACAACATGTTGAAATGGGCATCAAATATCGCTGTCTGTACCTTATCGTTTTGAAATGGGGAAGGGGGATCTCTTTTCAATAGTGAGAGGCATGGCTTCTCCAGGAAACGTGACTGTTTTTCAGAGCACCTCGAGGTTTCCATAGCTTCGCCTTGAATTTCTGCACCTACAGGGGAAAAAAGCTAACTTAAATTAAAACAAGTTGCAACAAAGAATAACAAGATGATGGGTCGCATACCCCAAAAGCAGTCGAGAAGGAACACTAGGTGGTCAATCCGTGTACATTCCCATGGCAAATCAAATAGCCAGACTTTAGCGGTAACCACAATTGCTGCTAGAATCCTCATATTCAGCAGCAATCAATGTACGGAGGTGGTTGCTTCACTCTGCCTAATGGTAGAGCATGATCCACGGGCCTAATTCTTAGCTCCCAGCTAACATCTGAGTTGGGTCCAGCCAATGGTGCTCCTCAACCCAGTTGTGAAGCCTCAGTGTTGACCACCTGTCATCAAGGAGAAAGTCAAGGAACAAACAACAACATTAGGAATTCCCCTATTTGGTGTGGACAGATTTATGGAAGAAAGGTTTCCCAAAAATTAAAAATCAAGATGGCTATATAAAGTGCCATCTTTAGAACAGACCTTTGGAAACTTAGTGGTTAGTTTAGTTTAGTTTAGTTTAGTTTAGTTTAGTTTAGTTTAGCTTAGCTTAGCTTAGTTTAGTTTAGTTTAGTTTAGTTTAGTTTAGTTTAGTTCAGTTCAGTTCAGTTCAGTTCAGTTCAGTTCAGTTTAATTGCTTTACAGCCTGCCTGCCTTCCAGTCGGGGTTCGGAGGTGGCTGGCAATAAATAATACATTTAAAAAAAAAAAATCACTATATTTCTCATACAAAGAATACAATTAAACCAGTTTGAATGGCAACTTCCAGAAATGTCCCAGCCAGCATGATCAGGAACAACACAGGCTGCAGGATTCTGGGAAGTGTAGTCCAAGAAAGCAGCTTTTCCAAGATCTAGTTGCAGGGCAGTGTGCCATAAAATATTATTTTCTGGGGGGGTGGGGAACTCCTCTTTGGGACAAAATGCAGTGGGATCCTACATTTTTCAGAGTTTTTCTCTGCTTCTGAAAGGCTGCCAGCTGCCAGTGGTTTCTTCTGTAGTTCCATAAGCAGCAGTCGTTCTCTTTTCAATTTGTGTACATATGTGTGTTTGTGTGCGTGATTTATGGTTAAGAACACAGAAAAAAATTTGCTTTCTCCAACATTGGTGTAGCAGCAAAACGAGGCCATTAGGGGGAGCCAAGGACACATCCCAAACCACATTGAAAGCTATTTTTTCTAGGAGGGATCCCTGTTTGTCAGAGCAAAATCAAGAAAAATGCAGAGGGGTGTGTGTGTGTGTGTGTGTGTGTGTGTGTGTTCTGTGGACTGCAGTCCACTTCATCAGAGGCCTATGGCCCATCACATTTTATGGGGAAGGAGGATGCGTCGGTGTGACACAAGAATTTTTTGGTCTCACAACAAGGCTGTTCTCATCTGTTTGAAATCTATCGATCCACACAGCTCTTGTTTTCAGTTCTTGGTGTCTAAAGGAATTATTTTTCTTAAGCACTGGCTATAATCACAGAAGCTGGCTTGGGTCTTTTTGTAAAATCGGAGTGAAATAATGCCCAGCTTTTTCTGGGTTCTTCCAAAATTGGAGTTAGCATCTTTCCTTAGCTGTCCTGAGGAGATGTGGGATGAAAAAAAAAAAGATTTTGATAAAAAAAAAAGGTAATCTTTCCAATTATTTATTACCCGGTTTTAGTTGAAAACCACCAAAGCAACAGGCCACACACACATATCACTAAGCTTTTCATGCATCTTCACTGCAAGCAGCCTGCAAAAAAAGATGACCCTGAATTTCTTTTTCATAAAGAGGTTGATCTCTTTTAGAAACTGGTTTTGAATCAGGAGTGGGGACCCTTCCATTTTCCAGATTGCTTTGGACTCCAGCCACCATCATCCCTTGCCCTTGATCAGGTTGGATGGAGATGAGGGGATCCAAGGCCATCTCATCGCTCACTGTGACAATTATCGTCCTCAAAGTCATCATCATATGGCATCAAATCAAGTCTGACTTATGGTGACTCTTCTCAGGATTTCCCAGCTAGAGAATACTCAGAAGTGTTTTCCCCTTCCTTTCCTCTAGGGGCGCTGTGGGACGGTGCAGCTGGCCCAAGGCCACCCAGGCTGGCTGTTCTCCTGTGATGCACAGTGGAGAACTGAATGCCCAAACTCTGGCTCTGTGGCCAGAGGCTTAAACCTCTGTGGCAACTCATGGCCAATTGATTACCTATGATGGGAACCCCTCGAGATGGACTTCACACCATACCTCCATCTCATCTTCTCCAGCTAAAAGGATATATAGCCATCCCGGCTACTAGTAGCCATTGATGGTCTCATAACTCTGGCAGCGAGCCCACTTTCTGGCAGTAAATGCCCCCATTTAAGGGTAAGCTGTGTAAAGAAACACTTCCTTTTTTATTGGTACAAAATCTTCTAACTTTCCATTCCAGTGCATGCCCCCCCATTTGGGTCTAATATGGAGGGGAAGAGTTTTTCCCAACCACTTTTCCCTACAGGGCATGTGATTTTTTTCTCATACACCCGAACGGGCACAATGGCACAAATATTCTCACAATTTAAAAGAGCAATGCCTCTCAGGCAGCCGGATTTTGCTGGTAGCCAGTGAACAAAAGCATGGCCAACTTAATTCAACGCCGTTCTATCGGCGAGAGACGCCATTGGAAAATCTAATTGATAATTTTTAACTAAATGTGCCCTCCGAACAAAATGCAGATGGTAAAGCCGCTGCGCGCTTGACCCCAAGGTATGATTAGAATAGCAAACAAACAGGAGGTGCCGAAGTCCCTCATAATTATTTTCGCCGGCACGATTGTTTGCTCCATAATATGGGTCAAGAGGTTTTCCTCGAGTTTCTTCCTAATATATTAGTAAATAAATTTGAACAGATTTTAATTTGCTGATGGGAAGGGCTGAGCCAGGGGCTGCTACTAAAGGCCCAGTGTTGTCTCCCTCATATGCATGCATCCGAGCCACGCCAAGCCATTCATAGAAAATGTTACATTTCCATAAAATGGCGTGTCATTTGTTAAGCAGAGGAGGTGGCGTCTGCAAACTATGTTAGATTAAAGATAAGCTCGCATTGCGCAGCGATCTTGAAGGCAGATATTGATGTGGGGATTGGTAATTGAATGCTGAACACCTGGCACCATGTTTTTGCCAAGTAATCCAGTCCCCACATCAATATCCATGGTGCCAAAAAAAACCATCCTTTTTTAAAAAGTTATTGTATTTTGTAGTTGTTTTTGTTATGTCAACCCACCCACAACTTATGGCAAGCCCGTGGACAAGAGATCTTCAGTGTCCTGTCCTCTACATTTGTGTTCTGCTCTTCCAAATGCAACCTTGTGGCTTCCTTTACAGAATCAGTCTGACACATATTGAGTCTTCCTCTTTTCCTCTTGCCTTCCCCCTTTCCCAGCATGATGGTCTCGACGCATATTGGGTCTTCCTCTTTTCCTCCTGCCTTCCCCCTTTCCCAGCATGATGGTCTTCTCCAATGAATCCTGTCTTTTCATGATGTACACAAAGTAGGACAGCCTCCATTTCATCATTTTTGCCTCCCGAGGTAGTTCAGGCTTGAGTTGATCTAGGATCCACTGGTTCATCTCTCTGGTAGACCAGAGTACCCACAAAGCTCTCCTCCAGCACACATTTCAAAGAATCTTCTCTTATGTACCAAGCTTTCACACCCACACATCGTGATTGGGTGTGGATGGCCTCGGCCTTGGTCTCCAGTGACTCATCCTTACACTTGATGGTCTAATCCAGAAGATGTAGTCCCTGCTTTAAAGCACATACAACCTGGCATTTACTGAATGGTAAGCTTTGCCAACTCACACCAGTGTCCTCTGTCTCTTTTCTTACACACATAGCATGGAAACTACCCTGTTTCCCTGAAAATAAGCTCTCCCCAAAAATAAGCCCCAGTTAAGTGAAACCTCCCCCTCCACCATTGTACAGCATTGTGCAGCCACCAGAAGAAGATGACATGACTGTATTTGAATCAATGTTGATGGTTGTACATGAAAAAAATAAAACATCCCCTGAAAATAAGCCCTAATGTGTTTTTTGGAGCAAAAATTAATATAAGACCCCGTCTTATTTTCGGAGAAACACGGTATGCTTCACAACTCAGTGGTTGTTGTTTCATAGATGATACGCTATGGCTTAGCATATGAGACTGAAGAAAACCACATTAATTGTTTGCCCGACTCCTCCAAGATATGGCTGGCTCAGCCCATCACTATCCTCTACGCTCATATTTGAAAAAATAGCATTAACTCTCTCTGGAAGGAACCTCTTAAGCACCGGGAGTCATTTCTAACTGCTTCACCATATTGGTTTCCTTCGAAAAGGAGAGCTATTTTTGTATAATCGTTACAGATAAAAACAAAATAAAAATAATAAAAATAAGAGAGCAATTTAAAAAGACAAAAAAAATGTTCTTTAACTTTTACGACTTTTTATTTTTATTGCTTTTTGTTTGTTTTTTACCTAGAATTCCTGTACAGACAAATATGTTTACCCCTTCTACAACTGTTTTTATATAAGACTCTCAGAATATGTCAGCCAGAACAGCCAGGGAGGTGTAGGTTTGGTTTTTTAACAGTTACTTATTTACTTATTTATTTGCTATTTATGAGACCTCTAAGCTTCACCTCAGTCACTGTAGAAAGCTACAAGAAAGACAAACTCTTGCTCTCGCTGCACTTGAGCGCCCCCACAGCTGGTGGCGGAAGTGTTGTATTGCAAGTTCTCTCTCTCAGCAGAGATTGAAGGGGAGACAGGAAGGTGAGGTGAGAAAACCATGGCTTTCCATACATTGTGGGACTGCAACAAGTGTTGTCATCCCTAACCATTGACCCTGCTGGCTGAGGCTAGTGGGGACCC